AGTATAGTTGGTTTACAATGTGTTAGTTTCTGGTGTAGAGCATAGTGATTCAATTATATATATATTCTTTTTCATCATAGGCTATTATAAGCTATTGAATATAGTTCCCTGTGCTATACAGTAAGACCTTGTTGTTTATCTATTCTGTATATAGTAGTGTGTATCTGCTAATCCCAAACTCTTAATTTATCTCTCCCACTTTTCCCCCGGTAACCATAAGTTTGTTTTCTATGTCTGTGAGTCTGTTTCTGTTTTGTAAATAAATTCATTTCTGTCATTATTTTAGATTCTACATGCAATTGATAGCTGTCTTTCTCTGACTGACTTACTTTATTTAATATGACAATCTCCAGGTCCATCCATGTTGTTGCAAATGGCATTATTTTATTCTTTTTTATTGGCTGAATAGTATATTCCATTGTGTGTGTATGTGTGTGTGTGTGTGTGTATATATATATATTATATATATATATATCCCCCACAACTTCTTTATCCAGTCATCTGTTGATGGACATTTACATTGTTTCCATGTCTTGGCTATTGTAAATAGTGCTGCTATGAACACTGGGGTTCATGTATCTTTTTGAATTAGAATTTCCTCTGTTTATATGCCCAGGAGTGGGATTGCTGGATCATATGGTAAGGTTATTGTTAGTTTTTTAAGGAACCTCCGTACTGTTCTCCACAGTGGCTGTGGTGCTCTGTTTTAAGTGGGAGCTGGCAAGTTCAAGGTCCTTTGCTTGGCCCCCACTGCAATTGCCCCGGTAGCAGATCTCCAGAAGCAAGGGTCAGCAGAACATACTTTAGAAACCAGCAACTAGCTTCATGAGCCATCACAGGGCCTGCTTGTCCCACAGGCCCCACTTGTCCCACAGGCCCCTCTCAAAAATGGTGGCCCAAACTGGAGGCGGGGGAGGGTATAGCTCAGTGGTAGAGCACGTGCTTAGCATGCTTGAGGTCCTGGGTTCGATCCCCAGTGCCTTCATTTAAAAAAAAGACTAACTACTACATATAAAATAGATAAACAAGTTTCTTCTGTGTAGCACAGGGGACTATATTCAACATCTTGTAGTAACCTATAATGAAAAAGAACATGAAAAGGGATATATGTATGTATCTGTATGACTGAAACATTATGCTGGACACCAGAAATTGACACAAAATTGTAAACTGACTATACTTCAGTTTAAAAAAAAAAGAGAGAGAGAAAAAAGAAGTATCAGCATCCATTCTGGACAAAAAAAAAGGCAGCCCAAACTAAGCTTGTAATTCGCTCCTGCGACCTTGCAAGAAGTGCTCCTTCTCTTGCGTTTCCACCCCCACTACACTATCCACCCAGAGACCGAGTCAGAATCTTGGCCATTCCCTGTGTCTCTTGCCCCACACCCCCTCCACATCAGGTACCCAGGCGGGACTGTTTCCGATCTGCTGGAGCCTTGTCTATCCCTTGCCTCTCACCTGTGTTCAGTGTTTGTGGAGCTTCATTCCCTGATCGACAGATGGTCTCAGGAAGCTTCCCTGACAGGAGCCTGGAGAAGGAGTGGACTACCATTACCCCAAACAATGAAGTCAGTCTTATGGGGAGAGAGTTCTGGGCCAGCAGGCCTTGCTGTGCTGGAGACAGTTCTCAGGACCCATCCACTTACACACTATGGAGGTAGAATTGATCCTGTAAATATGTATGAGTGAGGAGGAGAGGATGAGCCTGTGGGTCAGTCATGGGGGCAGCTGGTTCTGGGGCTCTGACCATCACCTTGGGCCCGACTGTTGTCCTACTGTGGCATTTGGCATGAGTTAGTCTCCCTGCTCAAAAGCTGATGGCGCCTCCTGAGTGATCCCAGGATTAAGCCCAAACTCGTCCCCGTGTCCAGACTCTTTTAGTGACTGGCTCTGTTGCTCTCCTCAGCCTCCCTCCCCAGCAGTTGCTTTACGGAACCAGCAAGTGAGCTGCACCCAACACCCTCCACATCTTTCCTACAGAATTGTATAGGATGAAGCTGGAGGCCAGAAAAGGACCCAGGTCAAGGCGGGGCCCAAGGTGGCTGCTCACTCACGGGACTCCCAGGGAGAGGCATCTGAGCCTCAGAAAGGGGATGCCCGGTGGGACCTCTGAGTCAGAGGAGACATCCAGAATCCGATCACTTCCCACCATCTTGACCCCCACCATCATCTCTGCCTGTATGGTTGTCAGAATCCCTCAAAAGGCTCTTTCCTCTTCTTTGGCTCTTTAAGACCCTAAGGCAGTACTTTCCCTTTTCTGCTCAAAACCCCACAATGGCTCCCCATTTCAGTCAGAGGAAAAGGCCAAAGCTTTCCACCATCTGGCCCCACTGAGCTCTCCAACTTCACCTTGTCAGTTCCTGTCACTCCCTCAGCCCGAGTCTTGTGCTCCTTGCCACCTGCCAGGCACACCCCACCTTAGGGTCTGGGCACTGGCGGTGCCCTCTGCCTGGAACATTCTCAGTCCAGACCACCACACGGCTGGCTTCCTCATCTCCTTCAAGTGTTTGCTTAAGTGACACTCTCTGTGCATAACCTTTCCCAACCTCTCCTTTTCAAATTGTAAAGCCTGATCTCCTTACCTAACCCCTCCTCCTCTTCAGCACCCGGAAACTTCTTACATTTAAAAAATTTTTGGAGGGCAGTAATTAGGTTTGTTTATTTATTTGTTTTTTAATGGCGGTACTGGGGAGTGAACCCAGGACTTCGTGCATGCTAAGCACATACTCTACCACTGACCTATACCCTCCTCTGCCACTCTAGAAATTTCTTGCTCTGTTCAAATGACTTTTCTTTTTCCGTAGCACTTATCACTGTGTAGCACACTATATACTTAAGGTAACTGATGAATTTCTATCATCGGTCTTCCCCTACCAGAGTGTAAACTTCACAAAAGCATGATTTTTTAAAAATTGTTTAATGCTCACTAATGTAACCCAGCTGTCTAGAACAGTCCCTGGCATATACTATGTCCTCAGTAATTATGTGTCACATTAAGAAACCCTTTCAGTCTTTCACATTTGCATGTACTTGGCCTGCAGCACACACCCTGGCTGGACTTTGATGATTTCACATTCACAGATCCCCCTAGCACACAAACGTATACTTGGAGATGTCACCTATAGATATGGAGATATAAATACATATTGGCAACTAGGTATATATTTACCATTGTACACACATAAGCACACACAATGCACAATGCAATGTATGCACATGTACATGCAAGATACTGAATATAGTTCCCTGTGCTATACAGTAGAAACTTGTTGTCGATTTATTTTATATATAGTAGTTAGTCTCTGCAAATCTTGAACTCCGAAATTATCCCTTTCCACCCCCTTTCCCTCCTAGTAATCATAAGTTTGTTCTCTGTGACTCTGTTTCTGTTTTGTAGATAAGTTTATTTGTGTCTTATTTTTTTAGATTCCACATACGAGTGCTATCATATGCTATTTTTCTTTCTCTGCCTGGCTTACTTCACTTAGAATGATGATCTCCAGTTCCATCCATGTTGCTGCAAATGGCATTATTTTATTCTTTTTTATGTCTGAGTAGTATTCCATTCTATAAGTATACCACAACTTTGTTATCCAGCCATCCATCAATGGAAATTTAGGTTCTTTCCATGTCTTGACTATTGTAAATAGTGCTGCTATGAACATTGGGGTGCAGGTGTCATCCTGAAGTAGATTTCCTTCTGGATACAAGCCCAGGAGTGGGATTCCTGGGTCATACGGTAAGTCGATTCCTAGTCTTTTGAGGAATCTCCACACTGTTTTCCACAGTGGCTGCACCAAACTGCATTCCCACCAGCAGTGTAAGAGGGTTCCCCTTTCTCCACAGCCTCTCCAGCATTTGTTGTTTGTGAACTTTTGAATGATGGCCATTTTGACTGGTGTGAAGTGATATCTCATTGTAGTTATGATTTGCATTTCTCTGATAGTTAGTGAAGAAATCAGATTTTTAAAATTTATTTTCTATTGTGACTTTGAGGGAACTTTTTTTAGTGAAGTTTTATTATCAAAAATTTTAAACCTACAGAATATTTGAAAGACTTATGCAGTGAGCCCCCACCACCTATCTTGTACTGATGATATTTTGCTATAGTTGATTTATTGCACATCAGTCCATTAATATAGCCCTCTATCTAGCCATCAAAACATCCTACGTGCATTTCAAAGTCAACTGCTGCCATCAGTCCTCTTCACCCTTAAACATGTCAGCATTAATGAGAGTGATATTTGTTTTCTTTTGAGGTAAATTTGCATGCAGAGAAATGCACCAATCTTAAGTTGGGATTTGCTGAATTTGGACAAATGGGTTCTGGACCCGTGTAATTCAAAGCTCTATCAAGACAGAGAACATTGTTGTCACCCCCAAAACATCCATCATGCTCCCTCCTAGACAATTTCCTCGTAGAGGCAGCCACTGCTCTGATTTTGTTCCCTGTAGATCAATTTTGCCTGTTCTAGAATTTCGTGAACATGGAATCATTTGATCTATGTACTTACAGTTGTCCATTCATTCAATACAAAATTAATTCAGCGCCTAATTATTCACTCACTGATAGCACATCTGATGTCTGTTTATGGTGAGTCGTGGGTACTCCTGGACTGAGCACAAGGCCAAAGGCATTTCTAGGTGTGGTCTGTGACCTCCTCTCTCCTCCTCCCTAGTCATGCTGTCACTGAGAGACCACAGACAGATGGGCCTTATCAGCAGAAATGCAGGCTCTAGGTGCCAGGTAGGCCTTGGTCTCCCTCCCTTCTCTCACCCCACCCACGGGCTCTGGAGGCCTTAAGTCAGTCCCACTCCTGCCTCCACTCCCTTCCCACACCAGAGCTTCATCCACACTTCTCTATGCAGGTATGCAAGGGGATGTCATAATTGCAGCCTGGGCCACGCCCAAGTGTGTGAAAGTGCAGGTGACGGCTGGAAGGAACTGGATGAGCAGAAGCAGCATGTTGTCTTGTGATCCTGTCGGGGTGGGGTGGGGGGGTTGGGGGTGGAGACCAGGCAGAGGCTGAAGAAGAAAGCACGAGAAAGCATGAAGGGAGGAAACATTGCTGGCCTCTGTGCAATTGGGGCTGGACAGCCAAACAGCGCTGACTTGGAGACTCCAGGACCCTGGGCATGATGTTCCTGCCCTCCAAGAAGGACCTCAAGACCGCCCTGGAGGTCTTCGCTGTTTTCCAGTGGTGCCTCAGTGCCTTTATTATAGGTAAGACTACAGTCTTGGGCAGGGTGGCCAAATGTCCTGGTTTGCCTGGGACTGAGGGGTTAGAAAGTATAGCAGGACTCTTGATGCTCAAACTTGGGTTTGTCCCAGGCAGATCAGGGCAGTTGGCCACCCTGGTCTCTAGCTTGACATGCCTGGGCACGGTAATCATGGGATCTGTGAGTGCACATGTGGGTATGGGTCTGTGCCCATGCAGGAGTATGTGTGTGCATGTGCACATGTGTGTGTGAGTGGGCCTTGTTGCAGGTGTGTGTGGTGAGCCCTCTTGGGTCTCCAGTGGAGGGCATGTTTGGAGAAGACGGGGGGCAGTTCCACTGAGGCTTTGCCCACGAAATGGGCTTAGCTGCAACCTTGGGGACCTGAGTAGACCCACGGTGCGAGACAGTGGCCTTGGTGGCAGGGGAGCTCCGACAAACTTCTTGCCCAAAGGAATCCATCCATGGATCCATCCATTTGTTTTTTCACTTTCCACACCACACATACTTTTGAAAGTTACTTTGATGCAGGTGTTCTAGGTGTTGAAACAAATCATCTCCATGGGAGAGAGGCCTGGAAAACCATTCTCATCTTTAAGTGGTTTAGGTACTGGCTGGAGGCAGAGGCCAGAATGGAATGACCTCGGAAGATATCTGGGAAGGAAGAACGCTGTAGGGGTGGTGCTGGGAGCCTGGGGCCTGTCAGGGAACAGGGAGAGTGGACCAGAGAACAGGGAATGAGGGGCTCAGAGGCCTGCCTGGTTGGGTACCAAGACCCCCGCAGGCTAAAAAAAGCAGCGTTAACCTAGGAATGATGGGCAATCAGAGCTGGAAGGGACCAGGAGAAAGGAATTTGTGTGTATTAGCAACTTGATTTCACATATAAGTCATATCATATGATATCTGTCTTTCTCTGTCTGACTTACTTCACTCAATATGATCATCTCTAGGTCCATTCATGTTGCTGCAAATGGCATGATTTCTTTTTTTTATGGTTGAGTATATTCCACTGTGTCTATATACCTCATCTTCTTTATCCATTCAGAGTGACTTCTCGCCAAGGACCAGGGCCCCAGCTGGGCCGCTGCTCACTCCTTCCATGAGGCCTAGGCCTTGAGGCTCTCTCCTCAGTGAAGGCTGAGTCCCTCGTCTGGCAGGAGCGGCGGTGATCCTCACTCTCATACTTCCAGCTGCTGGCTCTCCAAAATACCTGAAACCAGTCAGCCAGAGCTGGTCTTTCCAAGCTGGACTGCTTCATCACCTGCTTTTTCAAACAGGCCGTGGCTTTGGCATTCGGCATTGCTATTCTTTAGGAAGAGCACTTTTCCTGCCTGGGCTGGGCCTTCTTCCACTTGGTTAACATGGCTAGCTTTCTTTCTTGGCCCTGGCTCCAGGGTTCTCAGAAACCAATTCCTGCCTTTAGAGCCTGCTCCGACCCAGAAGCTTTAAGACACTGGGTTCTGTTCTATTGTGTTTCTTGAGTTCTGGTCCTATCTCCACAGACTGGTCTCATTACTATCCCTGTCCCTTCATTGCCAATGTGTCCCTCTGGGAAAGCAGAGTCCTCAGGGCCTAGGAACTGACACTACACTGGGGCAGAAGCAAGAGCATTGTGGAAGGCCACCCTGGGCGAGGCCCCCTGTGGGGCTGGAGCCTCTAGGCTGGTATGTCTCCTTCCTCAGTCCATTCCCTCCCTAATAGTCCCTAATTTTGCTCCTCAGAGGTAACCACTGTTAACAGTTCTTTTGTGTATATAGCCAGAAATTATGTTTATACAAATATATATATATATACACAAATATATATATGTGTGTGTGTATGTGTATATATATATATATTTTGCCACATGCATGTGTGTGTGCACACAGACACAGACATAGACACAGACATATAGCCAAGGGGCAGTAAAATATGGGTGCTAAAAACACACTCTCTTGAGCCAGCCACTCCTGTGTTCGAATCCCAACACTACCACTTACTATCCGTGTTCCTTTAGCAAGTGACTTATCCTCTCTGAGTCTTGTTTCCATTTGTAAAAATGAGTGTGAAAGTGTATGCTGTGGTAACCAACTAATGTGAAAATGTCAGTGGCTTATGTTTTTGTTCATGCCAAAACTGTTTATTTACTTATTTATTTTTAATGGAGGTCCTGCGGATTGAACCCAGGACCTTGTCATGCTAAGCACGTGCTCTACCACTGAGCTGTACCCACCCCCAAACTGTGATGCTGCAAAATGTGGCTTCAGAGATGACCCTAGTGTGGGCAGGAAAGGGAACAGAGGGATCACGTGCACTCTTGACTCTGTCCTCCAGAGTGAGAGGTGTAAACCCCCGTGAGCCTTACCTTGAACTTTGTTAATGATGAGGTTGAGCATCTTTTCATGTATTCATCAGCAGTGATTATCTCTCTTTCTGTTAACAGCGCATTCATGACCTTTCCCCATTTTTCTATTTAATGTGAGTTTACTCTTAAAGGATAATTGGAAAATAGATGAGGAAGGACGCGTGTTCAGGGAAGAGGGTGGGCAATAGCTGACAAGGCTGGGATGAGAGAAGAGCACAGAGCATTCAAGGATCTGCCAGTGGTTAAGTGGGATGAGGGGGTCAGTGGCACAGGACTAATGTTCATGAATGAATTGATGAACGGGAGTGGGAAGACAGAAGAGATTGGGGAGAAAGAGGAAGGGGACAGATTGTGCAGGGCATGGTCAAGCATGGGAAAGAGTTTGGACATTTTCCTGAGGGCCGTGTGGAACAGTGATGGGGTTGGGCACGAGGCAATAACATCAGATGGGGGTGGGTTTTTTAATTCTATTTTTTTTATTAAAGTGTAGTTGATTTACAATGTTAGTTTCAGGTGTACAGCAAAGTGATTCAGTTATACATATACATACATATATATTTTTTCAGATTTTTTTCCTACATACACATATGTATATATATTTTTTCAATTTCTTTTCCATTACAGCTCATTACAAGAAATTGAATATAGTTCCCTGTGCTGTACAGGAGGTCCTTGTTGTTTACCTATTTTATATATAGTAATGTGTCAGGTGGTTTTTCTTTGAGAGATCACTATAGCTCTGTACAGCAAACCGATTTTAGGAAGAGTCTATTGCTATAGTCCAGGTGAGAGATTGTGGTGATTTGGACCAGCCCAGGAGTAATTGGGATGAAGAGAGGAGGAAATAAAAGGAGACATTCAAGAAATTGGAGTTGAATTAGTAGGATTTGATGATCAGAAGATGTGGGAGAGAGACAGGGAGGAGGTGACACTGAAGGTGCAGGTCCCAGTGGGAGCTGGCAGAGGGACGAGTAGAGCAGAGAAGGACGAAGGAGGAGAGTGGCTGAAAGGAGGGGTTGAGTACAGAGAGAACCATCCCCGAGGGCTCTTACTCAGGCCTTGGCTTTGGGATGTACGGAGAGGTCACCACCTGGGGCAGGGTGAAGGGCTGGGCCCTGGGAGATGATGGTTCCAGTACTGGTCCCTCCATCACTCATTCGCAAATCGTCCCTCAGAGCATTCCCAGCTCTTTGCCCTAGAATCCGAGAGTGGAATCATATCCATTTAGACCCTAACGTCCTGAAGAGAAGACCTTCACATGGAGTCTGTAAGGAAGATAAAGTAGGTACCGGTATTGTGGTCCCCACTGGCCAAGTGAAATTCAGCAGCTCACCTGTGATCACACTCATGCTAAGTGGCAGATACAGGATTCGTCTCACCTCAGGGCACCCCACCTGAGGCCACACTGCCTCCCAGGATGTCCCCAATACTGTCTGGTTTCAAGCAAAGCCTAAGGGAAACAGGGAGGTCTCCCCTGGCCTAGACCCATGCCTCCCCTTACTTCTTGAAAAAGTCAAGACTCGTTTTGTAAGGAGTAGATCCAAGGCCTAAAGCAGCCTTTGTGTCACCCTTAGATCTGTTCTCTAGGGGCAGCTACTCTCAACTCAGGCAGCTCTTTCTTCTATTTCCCTCCCTAGGTCTCAATTTGACCATTTGAAATTTCTAAAGATGACTATTTTCTGATTGAACAATTTTAGACACTGGCATTGACTTCCTAATATGGAAAATGACTAGGAAATATTATCCACAATTGAGCTATTTCCTGCCCTAAGATTTCATTTCCTTTCTTGTGCAACTTCTTGTCTGCCCTGAAATTCATAATAGCCTCATTTTAAATTTCTCAAGTTATCTAGCAGCTATCTATCAGTTATCGCTTATTCATCCCTGGACTCTCCACAAACACATCAGGAATCTAGATGCCCCTTTCCCTCTCCCGCCATTTTAAATTTCCTCACGAACATCACGGCTGGAGCTTAGCATTGTCCTGTTAACATCTGGTCTCATGCATCGCTGTCGTCTCCCGGGCCCTTGAGATACCCTGGGTACACAATTTAAGGAGGTTTTCAGGGGAGAGGGTAGAGCTCAGTGGTAATGTGCCTGCTTAGCATGCACACGGTCTTGGGTTCAATCCCCAGTACCTCCATTAAAAATAAATAAATAAATAAATAAACCTAATTACCCCCTAAAAACAACAACAACAAAAAGAAGGTACTCATTCTCAGGGTTGTACAACTGTTGGTTGTTTCAGTACTTACTTGTCTGACCCTGAGAGTGAGTGTCTCCTTGAATCCTGTGCCCTAGGCACCTTGCTCTCCTTACCTGCTCACTTCCTGCTCCCTTCCTTTGCTGGTTGGATCTTTTTCCTGGATCCTCTGCCTTCATCTGTCTCGCTTTCCTCCCTCATTTTGGTGGAATACATCCTCCGGTAGTTTCCTGAGAAAGGGACATGAGAGATACGCTATCTGAGACTATACATCTGAGATTGTCTTTATTCTACCTTCATACTTGAATAATAATTTGGCTGCATCTAGGATATCTTAGCTGCGTCTAGTGTCAGTATCTGAGTCTAGAGTCTTTTGGGTTCATTTTCTCAGAGAATAATCCTCCCATTGTCCAGCTGTGTGGTGGAGGGGATGGGGTCCAGGGTTTTAATTATTTTGATAGGCTTTCAGTCAGGCTCTGTGCCCCATACCTGCTTTTGGTGACACCTAGTGTCCAAATTCTGAGTCTTTCCAAGATTCTCCAGTGCAAACAGGCTAGCTCTTGAAGGCATTCCCCTTGTAGGCAACTAGGTTCCAACTTCCTTTGTTCAAAGTCAGCTAATCCCTCCTCTGTCTACTGTCCAGCATGCAAACATTTTGCTGATAGCTCTCATCCATGGTTGACATCTCTCTAATTCTCTTTTTCTTTGCAGGATCTATATCTTTTCAAAAATTCTTCCAGTCATTTTCAGGGGGGCTCCAGCAAGGAGTCAAGATAAAAAAACAAAACGAACAAACAAACAAACAAACCAAAAAAAAAAAAACTTGTGTTCAATCTGCCATGTTCAATTAGAAATGTTTTCTTTCTTTTCTAACCTTCATTTTGACCCACTTTCTCTCCCATGGCTGTTTTTAAAAACTGAGTCCAGTAATAATTCTGTGACTCATCTCTGTGAAGTCTGTCCTAACTACCCTGACCTATATTGTTCTTATCTTATTGGAGTTCAACATGGCCCAATGCCTTATTCTAGCCCCGTGTGCGTTCTCCTTTGTGTCCTGTTCGCCATCTCGTGTGCTCCCCACCTGGTGGAAGGTGGGTATCCTCTTTCTCTAGTACTCCTTTCACTGCTGCCTCCCAGAGTTGATGTGGCGAGGAAAAACGGGAGTTGGAGGAAGACTGTTCCTGGGTCTGTCTGTCCAGGGCTCCAACCTCTGATGGCCAGATCAGTGTGACCCACCACTGGTCCATGCCTTTGAATGCAGCCTGGACCAGTGATGGAGCAGGTCCTGGGGCCGGGGATGGGGAGTGGGTCAGAGGGTTAACCACATGTAGCACAGCTGGGGAGGAACACAGTTTGCCTTTTAGACTCCAAACAGGTTCCCAAGGCCAGAGCAGGGGTGCAGAGACCATGGGCATACAGGCTGTGTGCTGGAGTGAGTCAGTGAGAGCGTGCTTGCAACCTTGGAGTGGACAAAACCCCAGAGGGCGGGCAAGTGGGAAGGACTGTCTACCACTCACTGACTCTGTCCTGGGCTCCCTCCAGTCAACACTGTGATCATCACCAACCTCTACCTGGTGGTGTTCACGCCGTACTGGCCTCTCACTGTGCTCCTTCTCGCCTGGCTGGGTTTTGACTGGAAGACCCCGGAGCGAGGTAAGGGCCCTGTGAGGGCTGTGTTGCCACCTGCCACATGCTTTCTGTGTCTTCTCATACTCCTGAGAGGTTCTGGACAATTCCCAGGCCGCCCTGCAGCCTGTTCCTCCCTGGGCTAGAGGAGAGGGAAGAGCTCTTTGCATGCTGCAAGCAAGGCCCAGATCAAAGCTGGAGTGGGCTAGGCTGGTCCTAAGTGGGACATCAGAATGTTTGGTTTGCAGCCTGGCTGTCACTTAAGAGAGCAGGCAACAGCAGGGGGTGAGCGTACCCTGAGGCAGGCCCTAAAGGGTTCTGGAGAAGACAGTGCAGGGATGGGGTGGGGTGGGTGAAGCTCGGCTGCATTGGCTCTGTTTCCAGGTGGTCGCCGGCTTACCTGTGTGAGGCATTGGCGCCTGTGGAAAGAGTACTGTGATTACTTCCCACTCAAGGTGAGTCGTCCTGGATCCCCACTTGGGCCCCAGGCCCAGCAGCAGCCAGGTCAGGGTGGAGGTCAGAGGCATCATTCATATCGAGGCCCATGTGGATGGTGCTTCCTGGAGTTGTGTGTTATTCCACCTGTGTGGCCAGACCCTGCAGCGCTTTCCTTTCTAGGTCTGTGACCAGAAGAGGAGTCCTCTTCCCTAGCTATACCCCTCCTGACTCCACTTGCCTCCACAGCTTTATTTTTTTTTAATTGAACCTTAAATTCTTTTTTTAAGCTTTATTTTTGTGAGGGGAGGTAATTCAGTTCATTTATTTATGTATATTTTTAACACATTTATTGTGGTATAATTCCTGTACAGTAAATTACATATATTTCAGATGTACAATTTGATAATGAGTTTTGATAGATGCATACACCCATGAAAC